ATTTGTGAATATATAGGCACAATTGTATAGAATTGAATAAATTGAGAGATCATAATAAATCATCTCTTTTCTGTTCAGAATATATTGATTAAATTCAAAAATATTTTCAAAAATAGAATAATAATAGAATAAAAATAGAAATATTTTAAAATTTATCCAAAAAATATTAATTCAATGACTTAGAATAGATCGATATTGTCTGAGAAAACAAGTTAAATGCATCAGCATTTACTGTAATTCTTTTCTAAGAGAAATCTAGTTGTACTCACAAGATCCTTTTTCAGGATTTATATCGTAATATATATCTTCTTTATAAGTTTCCTAAATATATAGACATTTTAAACTGTTTTACAAAAATATATGATATCTACGTTTATTTATATTACTAGATAGATGTGATTTATCATTATAAAACTTTCTTCATTCACGAGACAGCAGTTAACCATCTAAAATATAATCAGTTTTATTTTAATATTAATTGCTATGAACAGTATTAATATGAAATGTATTGTATCATTGATACATTACCAATTTTTGCGTAAACTAACGCTGTACGGCGCGGAATGTAGATCATCATTTTGTTTTGATATGCAGAAAATGATTCTGGTTGCGTAAAATGTTGCACACTCGTGTCTACGCGACATTCTCCTCCAAATTGTTCATCGTCACTGCACAAAACGATCTTATATGTTCCTGGATTTTTTACACCGACCGGATAATCGGCGAACGACTTGACTGGATGAAAGTTAAAGACGAATGTGAGATCACTTCGGTCAAAAACGATCACTTTATCATCTTCGTGCTTCCAGCTCACATAACCCTATAAATTCAAATATCACTCTTGATTCTTTAAATTTTATTAATTCTTTATTAAAAAAATCGAACATCAAAATCACTCAGATAATGACAAAAACACAAACTTATAAAGCTACTTACAGGATGGGCATGCAACCATCCATACTTCTCTTCGAGCATATTCACAGCGCGATCCCAATTATTCATATATTTATACTTCAGTAATTCGTCATCCACTAAATTCCACTGACGTCTGGCATAATGGAAGCTATCTGCATTTCCGACCCTTGGAAAATCTAGCCATTCGGGATGACCAAACTCATTGCCTGTAAAATATATATCAAAGTATCTCTGATTGTTTACATTTTTATTCAATCATAATTTGAATGAATTTTGATGCGTATCTCGAGATACAATTGCTCATATATATTGTAGTAAGAGATTAATCTAAAATTATTATTTGTTTATTATTCACCTATGAAATTTAGATAAGCTTCACCGCCCAAAGCATGCGTAATCAGCGTGATTAGATTGTGAAGAGCAATGCCACGAGAAATGATTTCACTGTGTGGACTCAAAGTGCTCATGTGCGAATACATTTCCTTATCCATGAGCCAGAATGCAATCGTCTTATCACCAACGAGGGCCTGATCGTGAGATTCGGAGTAAGCGACCGCTTTCTCCATCCATCTTCGATTAGAAAGTGTCCAGCAAATCTCGCCAATCTTCCAATCATCATCTTTGACCTCTTTTAATAATTTGATCCATTTATCAGGAATAGCCATAGCTAAGCGGTAATCAAATCCCATACCACCTTCAGCGACAGGTCTTTGATATTTTGCGAAATATTTATAAAATTATTTATATATATTTATAAATTCATTTATATATTAATTAATTAATATTTTCATCTGCTTTGATTTACGAAAGTTGATATAAGTCTTGTACCTGCAAACACCTGGCATTCCACTAACATCTTCGGCAATTGTGACGATTTCAGGATATATTTCATGCAACATATGGTTAGCGAGCATTAAATATACTATACCCTCCACATCAATATTCAAACCGTAATATTCATCATAATGACCACTGAAACCTTGTCCCAAGCCTCTTGAGTGATACAACATTGATGTGACACCATCAAACCTGTCAAATTATTACAATTTCAATAAAATATTTGTTATATTATGTATGAAAGTCACATACTTTTGTATAATTAGATCTGTTCTTATAAAAAATTAAGTACCTGAATCCATCAAAACCGTATTCCTCGATGTACCAACGCAAATTGGATAATAGGAACCGAAGTACTTCGTATTCTGCGTAATTGAACAGCCTGCTGTCCCAGAGCGAGTGTTCACCGCGAGAACCGCTATGAAAGAAACATGCGTCTGTACCATCAAACATATTCAGTCCATCCAAAGTATTCTTGGAAGCATGCGAATGTACCACATCCAGCAAAACATAGAGACCATGCTGATGTGCCACATCTACTAGCTCTTTTAACTCTTCTGGATTTCCATAACGAGAGGAAACCGCATAGAAGGAAGTCACCTTTGATTTTAATAAAAGACATAGAGCTGACACTTGTACACATAATTATATAATTAATTTTACAATTGTGTATATAAATAATACAACCTGATATCCAAAACTAGCATAGTAAGCGTGCTCCATGATCGCCATTACTTGTATCGTGTTGTAGCCTTGCTTTACAATCCGTGGTATTACATCCCTAGCAAATTCCAAGTAGGTGCCAATGCGACATTCCTGGGTACCAATTCCAATATGACATTCATAAATTCTGAGACTCTCTGGTTTCTTTGGTTTGGGATGTTTGAACTTGTATGTCTGGAAAGGAAGCATTATAAATCTCTTCGTCACATGCCAGAAGCACTTCTAATGATAACTATCCAATACATTTTCTGGATGCCATATACGTTGTTTGTAAGTAGTCCCTTCAGATTTATCCGGTTTCTGTGTTACGTAAGTTGCCCAGGGACTCAATCTTTCAAGAAGCTCATTATTGTGACTTTTGATAATAAGCTTTATTTCAGAGTTATGCTTCAAAGGACAACTGCCATCTGCATTTGGAGGCAGATGCAATTCCCACTTGCCATATTCTAATTTTTTATATGCTGTAGCAGTTTTTTGCCAATTATCTATACAGCGAAATAGTTACACTAATTAAAGATAATCCTGATTGAATATTAAATATATTAATATATTCATAAGAAAATAATATACATACTAAACTCTCCAGTTAAAAATACTTCTTGCGCACCAGGTGCCCATTCCTTTGCAACAACACTATTGTCATCTTGGACGTGAATACCAAAGCTCTCATATGCAGTACTAAATTGCCTGAGGTCCCCATCTCCCTCTTCAATTTTTTCAACGTAATCCTTAAACAGGGCATACCTGGAAAGATGATGTAGCGTTACCAGAATATCTTAAATAAATTAGGAGAGACGTCGCAAAGTAGTGCAAATCAGGCATAACCTTCATATACAAAATTGCTACAAATAAAAGTACCTTCGTCGTATGTCAATCTCGTACTGCTTCAGATATGGATCCCTCTCGAGGAGGGTTTTTATCTCCGGTACCTCAACCTGTGAGGGATCCATGCTGGACCACTTGCCACCCATGTTTTTATCAGGATATCTTGTGCACAATTAACGAAATTGGTAGCGTGATCGCGGCATGGACCGGCTGAAATTTGAATGTCAGATCAATGTCACGATCCCCTCTCCGTTCGACGTCAGTCGGTCAGTAGAATGTGAGTGTACTGTACTTAGCACTACTGTACTACTGTACCTTCGGAGATGTGGAACGGAACTTAAATCGCGTAGCAGCCGGATATAACAGGAAGAAAAAAAAAAGAAGGTGCCGACGTGGATACCGACTTATGTAATCGGAACACGCGTTAACATGCACATCGCGTGAGAACGATAAGTTTTGATTTGGCGGCTCCTAATCTGTACGCCCACCACTCTTCCAAGCTTTGACACCACCACGTACTGCCATGTTTATTCTCGGAATGTTTACTATTTTTAATTTACTCAGCAAGCGAAGCATAGCGGCCTTGGCGGAATTTCAGGTTTAGAGTCGGCTGGAGCGAAGGAGTGAAACAATTACGCGTACAATTTGTAATTGCAAATGAACTTGGAGATAAAAGTTGCAGTATCAAAGATCGTAGGCGATATCTTACCTCGTGGGATTTTATCTCGTCGCATGCCGAGGAAAATTACGTTTCATCTTTTATGAAAAAAAAAAAAAAGTATAAAAAATTGAGCGATTAGAATCTTGATATGGTGGTGATATCATAGATCTGTTCTTCGTAACTGTTCTGTGTATTTAAAAAAATAAAGTGCGCATGTATATATAAAGAAAAAAGGAGAAAAAAAAAATAGAAAAATCATGACTACGTGCCACCTACAAGAACCTTATATTGAATTCGGTTGAACGCACTTATAATTATAAAATATTTTATCCAACGGCACACAATAAAATGTAGCGATCAAATTCGTTTCTATATTTATAAGATATTAAATTATTAAATAATATTAAATGCACTTCTTTACATCAATTTGTGTACGACGGTTTAATATTACAGATATAATATAATATTATAGAAGCTCTCTAGTTTAATGTGCAGCAGTATGTACTTGAATGCGTCCAATTGCATTCGGTAAGCGAAAAAGTTCTGGCTGTTTGCTAAATGGTAGACGTTTTAAACAAGTGTGTTATGGAGCGTCTAACACTATTTTTGTTTATATGCATTGAAAGGGAGACAAAAAGCAAAGAAGCAAAAACAAGAGCATCCGAGAATCAGTAAAAAGAAATTTTATTGGAGATACACGAAGACGAGTACGAGTTCAGTATTACGTAAGAATAATACTGACAATTCGTGAATACTCATACGTAAGTACACAACGTACAATTTACGTAAATTTATTATTATTGATATATAATTATACAAATGCAAAAATTACCCTTTTTAATAGCTCAAGCGATATATAGACATCGTGGAATACATTAATTGTGATGTGCTCAAGCTAAATTATATCGTCGCAATTTGTGAATTATGATTTATGCGTTGATCCACATTTTAATTGAATTTCGCATCAAGAGATAGAATAAGAGAGAGAGTCGTATATAATTAGTAAAAATTTATTATTAATTGAATTGCTTTTATACTTACGAATCACTAAGCAATGCTCACAAAGTATAAGAAAATAAATAAATACAGTTTTCAAAGTATTTACGCGATATTAGACTCTGAAAGACCCGACGGTGGTCAGATACCGAATGTCTTGGCGGCTTTGGTCCATTCTTATCTTAACTAAGCATTAAGAATTCGTTCAAAAAAAAAAAATATACTTACAATTAATTCTTAAATAAGGTGGAGTTAGAATTAGCAGAATGAATTGTTAATATTTCAAGATTTATCCTCTCTTGTTTTTTTTTTCGTTGTTCTTTATATATGTATATAATGCATTCCTATATATAAACGCAAATATATTTAAAATTTGAGAGGATTACAAGTAAATTTGTGACAAAGCGTTGAACTGTTTTAAGAGAAACATTTATGAAAGGGAAATAGGAGGAAAGTATTTTAAATTTCATGAGAGATTAAATAGGTATGTTAACGTTAGCGTCTTGGATTACAAGGTTAAAGTCGTATTCAAGATTTCATTTTACTTGTAGGAAGAAAGATTAGCCCTGGATAAATGTCCGGATGAATTTTTTTTACCTTGGAATCAATCTTTAACATAGTGACCTATGTGGCATGCGTCTTGTTAGTGGGCTTTTGGTTTCGAATTTGATTTGTTAGTGTAATTTACGGTACTGTTTATGGGAGTATTATTGACCGAAGTGTCAGATACTTCGTCGCTGCTATTACTGCGAATATCACCCTCCATCTGTAATAGTTTTTCCAGAAGAAAAGATTAGCATATAGATGTGTGTTCATTAATATCAAAAAAATGTCCCAATGAACGTGCACGCGACAATTTATATAAATCAGCAGCACATACCTGACCAGCATTGAAAGCACGGTATGCGATCTGAATGATTAAATAAGTCCAAATTGCGTGGAGAAACAGTAGTAAAACTAATAAAGAATTAAAGATATAATACGCGAAGAACATCGGTACCATCTTAGGCGCCTCTATAGATGTACTGTAACATATAATAGATTGGCATCAGTATCAAATAATCTGCACATATAATCGCTCAAAATCTAAATATACTAATACGTACTTATAAATTATCCAAAATGGGTACACACCCATACGCGTTACAACCCAGAGAATTGTAAACGCAGCAAATATACAGTCACAAAGTCTTTGATAATTTGCATACTTGGTCATTTTTGCCGCCTGCGAATTAAAAATAATACATATAAATTGAAATATAGAATATAATTTTTCTCTTTCGAGCATTCTTACCTCCAAGAGTATATCCGCAGAATCATGCACGAGCAAGACCAGACTTCCGATCCTCGTTAAATTTCCAACCCACGAAAAACACATAAGTGCAATTGTAGCTATGTGATGAATAAACATCTGCCAAAAATCTTTCCTTTTTACATCAAAGAATTGAGAAAAGCTTAATGCCCAGTAAAATGACATTGATATCATATAATACCACCACACATCATCGGAAACGGGATGATAGGGATAATTGTAAAAAGAATACTTTATGTCCCAGAGCCACGGTTTATCCCACAGGACAACAAGGCCGTAAAAGAATGAATATGTATAATAAAAACATCTCCAACTGAAAAGAAATCGTACATGTGTATGATGATTTGTCAATGTAATATTTATGCACGATACGAGAATTAAGACGATGACTAACCAACTTTCGCAGAACTTTGTAAGAGTAGACGGCTTATCCTGAGAACGACGCAGCCGAAGCCATCTCTCTACTTGCCTTTCAGACCAATCTAATTGTTTAGCCAATGCCAAAATCTTAAAACATAGAGTTATGCGTTACAAAGTGTTCATGTAGCAAACAGTAGATGTACATGAAAACATATATATCAATTAGCATTATTTACACTATTTTTAACATTCCTGATATTTCTTAACACGTTGAATGCCACGCTGATATTACGTGATTTGTCCAAGGCGCCAACATGAATCTGCTATCATGCGATACATATTGTGTTAAAATTTAGAAATATTGACATTTATTTGAATTATGTGTTTCTATTAATCTTGACATCGTCGATCACCGGTGCCCCCACAGCGACAAACTGAGTGCCGGTTACTGGTGATCTCCATGGCATTCAACGTGTTAATATATGAATAAACAAATTTTCTTTGTATAAACATTCAATTATTATTGATGGTCATTGATCATAGATCATATGAATCATTAGTTATAAATATTTAGTATTAAATTTTTTTTACATTAGTTACTCACCTGTTTATACTTGGTTTTTTTACTAAGATACGCTTTTTCTAATATCTCATTGGATACTGCCTTTTTGCTCCTAGTATTTTTTATAGAAAGCGATTTTCCAAAGGGAGCAAACCAATACCTATTTAAACATTGAAATTATATATACATGCGTTACTTTAAAGGTTCACATAAATCTTTTATCATGTATTAGATATTACATTTATATTAGATATTACAATTTCATTGATGTAATCTTTTTTAATAGCAATGTACATATGAATCTAATTTTTTTAAAATAAAAGTAAGGAAAAAGTCTTATTCGAGATCTGAACTAGATTTTACGATTAGCTTAATAATATTTCAATCTGATTTATATATACATATCCAGTTCTGTAACTGTGGGTCAATTTAATTGTTTAGTTTTCGTATTTCCTCAACAAATGTTTTCTTAATAAGTATCATAATGAATATCACGATAAATGTCACCATGCATCAGTGACCGAATTGTTAAACATCCGTTACAGGATATAGAAGTTTCAGAATTTCATCGAAACCCAGGTTGAAATAATATTTTTTGCGTTTTAAGATGCTTATTAACATCAATATCATTAAACTGCTTGTGTCAATTCAATTTGTGATTTTATCCTATCCTAATTTCAGTTTAGAATTTCAAGAGCAAAAATAAAATCGGCATGCCGTTTACAAAACTGGATGTAGACACTGAAAAAAATAATGTTGCATCAACAGCATTAATTAAAAATAATTTTGTTAATTCAATAACAATATTAATAAAACAAATACTTACACTTTTGTTTAACAAAATTTTGTTTGTTTCATTGTGTGTGTATGTGTGTGTGTGTGTGTGTGTGTGTGTGTGTGATGCTGTGTTATATAAATCAACAAGACTATTTTCAATTAAAATAATGCTGTTAAAACAAGATTTTTATCAATGTAATAATTTCTTAATGCTTAATATTATACAGTGATCCGAAATTCATGAATTCGGAGTACAGGATAAATAATTTTTGCGCTTATTTGTTAATTTTAACCTACTCTCCTGCAAAAACTATTTATCGGACGCAATTTTGCTAAAAGAAAAAATTGTTTATTTTAGTATAAAGTATCATGTTCTGTACTTCGAATTCGTGAATTTCGAATCAGTATATTTATAAATATATTAATAATTATATTAATACACACACACACACACGCGCGCGCGCGCGCGCGCGTGTGATACACAGTGAGAGCAAAAAGTATTTATACAAGAAAATTTTTTTATAAAAAAAGTCTTATTTATAGAAACAAACATTAATTAGCAATTTTATACAATGAGTACATTTTATTCTTACATTGACAAGCTTCGCATATATTCTTAATTTTAAAAGCTAAATTTCTTGACTGTACAAATACTTTTTGAGCATCCAAACAATACAATTTTTAATTTTCACTTATTTTTCAGATGATATATTTTCTATAATTAATACACATCTTTTTGGGATATATAATTTTAAGAAACATACAATCTATTTTATTTTTTATGAATAAATCGTTAATTACACAGCAAGAAATGATCGTCAATTAAACATCGAATCGATGTCAAATTGGTATTGAAATCATCGTATCGATGTTGATTCAACATCAATTCGATAACTCATTTTTCGTTCGATAACATACTTTTTAAAAATAAAGTTCTTTTAAAAAATATTTTCTCTGTACGAATACATTTTGCTCTTACTGCATATATACACAAATTTGTATCAAAATTATATTATTAAGCACTAAGATCTAACTTAGACTGAATAACTTTTCTTATATTCAGTTGTATCGGTCTACTATCATACTCATTGTTTGTTTAAAGCATTAATACTTTGAGATAAGTATAAGACTTTGAGATAACTATAAAATTTATTTATATGACCAATAAAAGGAAAAAATCTAGGAAGCTTACCTTTCAAGAGTATATCTTATGCCTAGAAGAACAATTGCCATAGGCAGCGGATATATTAAATGCTGATAATTAGCATATTTATTGTCTGCATTTGGATTGATGTCTTCCCATGTAATGTTAGGAGGTAACCAAATGTGTGGTGACCAAAAGGTGGCCGATATATTTAGGAAAATATTCATTTCTCTGTGTTCTGCAAATAAATATTCTTAATAAGAAGAGACGTCTAAGAATAGGGGTGGTAGAAACTACAACTCTAACAATATATATTATAAATAATACATTAGTTTTATATTAATAATTACAGAGGACTTATCAAGTAAGAATGCTCAATGGCACAAAGGAAAAGTTAAAAAAAAATCATGATATCAAGCTACTGAAATTAAACAATATAAATCATTCATGCTAACATTGCTGTACTAATTCAATTGAGTCAAGGAATAGGAAGAAAAGACATGCACATGAATAGCATGCAAAGCGCGCGCGCGCGAGAGAGAGAGAGAGAGAGAGAGAGAAAAGCGACGTGAGATGGATCTCGATAAGAAGACAGAGACATACACGCACTTATTTCACGTACTTACCCGGAGCAGCTGTAGCCGCTTCGGCTTCGGCATGTACGGCGTGATCTGAAACGTGCCACCGGACGGACAAGAGTGTCGAGAGTAGTGACTGTAGTGAGGCGAAAACGCGCGTGCTCGTACTGCTCGTGTCACGGGCTGCGCCGTTTTGGCTGTTCCTGTAGAGTCAAGAGTATAGGCTAACCGCTAACGCGCGCGCGTGCGCTATTAGTCGGAAAGCCGCTCCGATAATCGCCTAAGTGAGACGGGCGACGATGATAAGGCGACTGGACGACCTCATCAACGTCTTACGATAATAGCAGGCGTAAAAAACCGGCAAAGCCGGTGTATGTTTCGTAAGCGCTGGGTCTAAATCTTACTATCATTACGACTTGCTGCTATCGGTATTTGATCAGCTGTCGCTATTACCAAAATGGAGCAGTTATAATTAATATTACTTCAGATACTAAACGAACGAATCTACTATTTGGCCGCGTGACTATTTCTGCCTCGTTCTGACAGTCACGTCACACCACCGGCCCAACACACGCTGCCACACTCCACACTGCCACCGGCGCCGCACGAGTGACGAGAGACGAAACACTTGTAATGAACGATTACTTTACCGCACGATTCCGCAATTGTGTACTTGGTGGTGTGTGTGGTGTGGCGTATCCGTGAGTTCCTATCCGACGAGACTCGAGACTCGAGAGGCGTGCACCCGGCAAAAACGGGCACGTCCGATCGTCTCCGATCGTCTCGTCAGTCGCCGACTTGTAGTATAGTGGGAATTCTCCCTCTCTCTTTCTCCTATTGTCCACTGTTATTTTTTTTTTTTTTTTTTTACATAAATGTCTCCATGGAATCAACAACTGTCAGCGACGCTCTGTTGTTCTTCCTCGGTTACTTCAGTTTTCAGCCTTATTCGACAATTCGGTATTAGCTCCAGTTTCCATTGTTCCATTGGAAGGTTTTAAGTTGTAAGAAGCATCGAAAGATCGAAGGAAGGTTTTTGAAAATGAGAGAAAACGAAAGGTTTTTACTAATGTAAACTACAAAATACGTATACTCTATTCGGAGAGGAAATTATCAATTTGCGTTTCAAAACTGTATTCGAGTAATTATAATATACGGTGTCTACAATAATTAAGTCGTAGCGGTCGTAGGATCGCACAAGTAGAAAATTGACCAATTTTATAGTCAATTATTCTTCCCTTCTCATTAATTATTATTCTCAATTATTCGATTATGATTGGTTAATTTTCTACGACCTAAGATCCTACGACCATTACTTCTATTGTAGGACCGCGTAAAATCTAAATAATTATGAATGCAGAAAGCAAAAGATATAATTTTCTCTCTCAATCTCACAGGTGAGGCATTCCACGTCAAACTGGGCACCTTTAAAACCGTCGTTACAATTTTTTTTTTTTAATTTACTGACATTCTATAGATCGAAAAATTTGAGACACGTGTCTCGTGAACAAAATTTGAGATTTTTTCGTGAAGTTATTTACGCTTGTAAGTTGCAGAAATTCATAAAAAACGTCGCTCACGAAAACATCCAAATTATTACATCGTCGAAATTTTATGTTAGTGTATAATTAAAAAATTCTGTCGTGTGACGGCGCGGTTCTGCATATATGTAAATGGGAATATATATTTTTGCAAAATTTTTTAATTGGCGAGTTGATGAAAAAATGTCAAAGTAACGTTGGTGCAACTGGGCCTCAATGACCTGATGAAACAACATTGATTACGTTTGTTAGCTCAACTTTCCGTGGTTTCATTATGTCTATGTACCATTATTATTATTATGTGACTATAAATTACACACAGTTTCTGTCACATGGAAAGGAGAGGAGGAAAAACCTGTCGAGGTTACCGGTGACTCATCAAACGACCACGACTATGATTATAAATTATACGATTAATCGACGAATGGCAACGTTTGGAGATTTAGTTTTCTGATTTCACAGGATTTATTCTATGAGTGATTGTCGTATATCGTTGTATCGCTATGTTGACGAAACGCATTTTCTAAATGATTTTTCGTGAAAATTACCAAACGCACGAACTTGGGACGATATAAATATGAATGACGGCCGGAATCTGTTTCTGCTCTGACAGGAACTCTAGGAAAGCGGATCGTTACAACTGATTTAGAACGCTATTGGTCATTGATTTCCCGTTAGACGGTCACGGCGACCAATAGCGGCTTACCTGTCTCAACGCGGCTGTTTGAAACTCCAGATAATACTCAATATTGAGAGATAAGATTTTCTAGACGCCAAAAACGTCTCATATTTTGATTTTGGATACTTTGTGTCGTTTGAATCGTTACAAATAGCTGTTTCATTAGGTTATATTTTCTTCTGTTTATCTCTTCAGAATATACACTATTATAATATAGGAGCTACTTTTATCTCCGTGCATATATTTTTGCAAATTTTCTTCATCACTGCTTTACTTTGAAATTTAAATTGCTATATCCAAACTAAAGACATTGTTCGATAATACTATTAGACAATTTCTCTCTGATACTATTCTTACATGTGTTATGCAGGTCAAAGGCTTGTCCATTGGAATAAATGTTATATTACTAACTTTTAAAAAGAATTGAGCTATATTCAGATTTTCATCCGAGTGCCATATATTATTTTATCTTTGTTATTTACCTAATGTTAAACAAGGATAAACTGAATGAAGAAAAATAATCATGTTTTCGATCAAAGCGAATCTTAGTGCTTAAATATATTCAGTATGAATTATTTATATACATATAATTATTTTTTGCAATAAATTATTTCGCAGTTTTTAAGATACTTTAAATATTAACATTAAATTAACATCTTTCTAAGATGCTTTTCATTATAAACAAAGCATAGTGTTTATGTTACTTAAATTTTAAGAACTTTGATCACACAAAATACTTATTATATTTAATTCTGTAAACCACACACCGAAATCTTTTTAGTCTTGAAACGCAATTATGAATTGAATGAACTTATAATATAATATGATAATCTCACATATTAAATTGACACGAAATTTAATAATATTAATGTTAATAAACGTATCTTGTATTTTGTGACTAAATTAACTTGCAATAAAATTAATCAAATTTTGATCGAAATTTTGATCGAAATTTTTCATATTTTAATTAAACGCTAAGGCTGTGCTTTGTTTAATTAAAAATATTTTAGAAAAATGTTAATAATTTGATGCTGATGTAAGTATTTTAAAAATTGTAAATAATTTATTGTGAAAAATAAGTAAAATAAAATGATAACTAGGGAGTATTTAGAGGTGACAACTGGTGAGGTGATCAAACTTTAATTGATTTAAATTAATCGGCGAATTTTAATTTTAATTAATTAGATATTGTCTAATTAATTAATTAGATATTGTCTAAATTTAATTAATCAGATATTGTCTACGTTATTATTTTGACCGAGACAGTTATAATTTCTTGTGTTTTGGAACAAGATTAGATTAAGAATGATAAATCATATAAAAAATTCTGTCTGTTATCAAGACCTATTTTACACTATTCTCATCGTACAGAAATAGTGTCGAACTCTACATCAAGACTCACCCGAACTGTGAATGATATGAATGTGTGATCATTTGCGATGATTGTTGTTGTTCTGCGATTTTTGCGTTATGCTAATGTCTGAAGAGGGCTCAATCCTGGAGCCGAAACTTGTAACGTTATGTAATTTTGCCTTTGTTGTTGAAATATATTCTTTTATTAATTTTAAAGAAACGTGTTGACTCTTACTTTGCCCGTTACTTATTGTCATTTGGTTTACACTATTCTGTTAAAACATGATTAAAATTATTGTTTTCTTATTGCCTAACATGTAGACAAAATTAGGAATAAGGAATATATAATTAACAATTTATTTTAAGCAATTCTGATTAAATTAACCACTGATTAACTTAATCAGCGATTAATTTATTGAAAAATATCTATAGGATTTTATTAACATGGATAGAATTATTAATTCGAATGTGAGAAGAAATATTAGATTAAGATAAACGAATTATACAATTAGAATTTTTGTTATAAGCGTCTCTTATATTAACTACATTAATTAACCATTGATAAAGTTAATCAAATTTTGATCAAAATTCTTAATATTTTATTTAAAAAATCGTAAAGATTTTGTTTAATTAGAAGGAAAAATTATAGAAGTATGCTTCGTTATAAGAAAAAAATCTTCATTTTTTTCAGTAAAAAAAGTCTTTATTTTTGCTGTGAAAAAGCAATCGGTGCCAACTCGCAGCCATTCCTAAGTCTAATATAAAATTCGACGTCGCCGAAAAATATTTTTCTATTGTATACAGATACAGGCACCGCACTTGTCGAAGCGGTCTCTTTTTATCTCTTCTTTTTTCAAGAAGGCTAATTTGCGCCGAGATCTCACGGCGAATGTATATCAGTGTGCGCATCTACGATTGATCGGATATCGCTTGATTAGACGCTTTATCACACGTTGATAAATCCTCGCATTTCTTCTTTCATGTGACCGGAAGAACTCCTGTGTGGCTGTATTGATTTTGCGTGCTTTTCGTTTGATTCCCGGAGTATGCACTAAAAAGGCACCATCGAGCACGACCAGACGATAATTCAAAAGACACATCTCGAACATCTACATGAAATAAGAAATAGATACCTTAAAAGACATATAGGATCTTGCAAGTAAGATATTAATAGTGAAAAGTTACGAATAATTATTACACTTCAAGCAAATCTACTTCTCATGCAGCATAAAATTTGAAGCAAATATTAATTACTGCAATATTATTGGAATGATCTGTATTGTATTTTTTATGTTCATTTTCATCTCAATATAGATTTCTCTCTCTCTCTCTCTCTCTCTCTCTCTCTCTCTCTCTCTCTCTCTCTCTCTCAATCATGGTTTAACTAATTCTTAATTTTTTCTTAGAATTAGAAAAAGATGAAGAATAATTAAGATTAAATTAATAGATAAATTAATCTATATTGAAAGTGCATATTAGAGAATGATGTGAGTAAAGTTTTGCAACTATTAGAGATAATTCTCTAAAGGAAATTGCCTTATACCTGGGCCATCTTGTCTTGCTTGCCTTCCCAGGACATTTCCTCTGTGTAGAGCGGGTCATCGCGCGTGCCAATGAAGAGCGGTTCCCATCTGTGATGCGGATATTCTCTTCTGGTAACGACAAGCGGTCGGATCTTACCCGGGTCTGGTCTAATCAACCACCTGGTCAGCCCAGGAAATCGCTGGCAGTGTGGACAGACAAACCTGCGAGAGGCGTCTTGTCCCGTTATTGAACATACATTGCAATTTCAATATGAATACTTTGTTCAATTCTTATGAGAGAAAGTTGACTTAATCGACGCGTGTCAACGATTTCAAATTTAGAACATTCGAGACGTGGGGAGACATAAATCCTGTATACACATATATATACGTGTGTGTGTGTGTGTGTGTGTGTGTGTGTACCTATGAAAATATACCGCCAAGCCGGCACGGCAGGCGGCGAGCAGTTCGCGCTTTGTCGTCGGCGGCTGTTCATTGGATTCTATTTCGAATACAGGCACAACGAAGACTACGCCATGCTTGGGCGGTCTATGGTGCACCATCTCCATGAAGCCGGAAGCCAGCCGTGCGCTCGGTAACAACTCGATATCCGAGACAAGTACGCGGGATGTATTCGCCATCATTCTCGCTACATTCCGGGAGACATTGATGGGATATGTCATTTTCCTCTTCCGCCT